GCCAGGGTCAGCATCTACTGGGTGGAGGTGCTGCCCAACGGATCCAACCGGACGTCGCTGGTAGATTCGCGGTAAGGGATCCGTTAAATTAGCCCCCCCCCATCAACTTGCTATCTTAATTAAAAGACAGCGGTATTCTTCTCCGCTAGTTATCAGTTGGAGCTCACTTTAATGAATTGCCCCCATCGCGTTTACAGGTTGATCCCCATTCACGAGACAGGCTGGAAGAGCTTTGATGTCACCCAGGCGGTGCACTATTGGTCCAAGACACAGCAGAAGACACCTATGCACCTGGAGGTGTGGATCGAGGGCGAGAGACCTGGCAGTTATGCGGCAGAGATGGCCAAGAGTGTCCGCTTTACCACCCAGGAGCAGACGGACAACACCTTGGGAAAGCCCGAGCTCGTCCTCTACACACTCAACCTCGAAGAGTACGGGTAAGGGCGCGAAATACAGGATATTGTGTCAGTGTGACAATTAACCCTGTGCTGTTTTTACCTGTCAGCATTTGCATTCGTTAATAGAAGTGTTGCGTGGTGGCAAAGGGGCGGAGGTTTACAGATTCTCGTGCTTCAGAGAAATCTAGCAGCAAATTACAGACTGGCACTGAAGAGCACCATATGCTCTCTATCACGAATGATCCAAAGTCATTTGAAGTAATATAACCGAAAACACAAACCAGTCTATAAATTGACCACTGCATAGCAAGCACGGGTGTAGCTAAGAAATTTGGGGCCTTTGATAGCTTTTGGAGCACCTGACCCCCCCCCCGCAAAACAAATCAATTAAATCGCATTACTGATAATGCTAGCAGCTGTCAGCTAACTTTCCTTGTTTTTCGTCCTCAGCTCTCGCGGTGACTGCGACAACCAAAACAAAGACACCTGCTGCAGAGAGGAGTACTTCATCAACTTCCGCGCACTGACATGGACACAGTACTGGATCATTGAGCCGGCTGGGTACCAGGCTTTCAGGTGCGCCGGTGGCTGCAAGCAGCCCAAGCGCAACTTCGGGTACGGCGAGCGGCGGTGCACGGTGTCCGAGAGTGCGCCTTTACCCATCATGTACCTGGTGAAGAAAGGGGACTACACCGAGATAGAGGTGGCTGAATTTCCCAATATGATCGTAGAAAGGTGCGCGTGCACTTTGGACAACATCTCGATAGTATGAAGTCACGGGAAAGGCTCGTAAGAATCCAGACTGGGGGCGGGGATGTGTTCTGAGTACACGCGTGGTGTTGTTTTCAATGAAGTGTTGATATATTTAATGCACACCTGATACTTTATATTTAAAAGGACCTTTACCCGGAGTTTCAGTACTCCTGCCTAAACTCCATCTACAAGCACTTTGATATATTTTGTACATTTTGATAGTTTTTTCCTTTTTTTATACTTGAATTTGTGTGAGCTGCGTTGAGTCATTCAAATTCTGTTTGATGTGTTATATTTTCCACCTGTAAATAATATGAATGAGTTTATGTTTAGAAAATTAAAATATTTTGTCTCACTTAAAGCTCCTGGTCGCTCCTCCTCCTCCCTGCTGTCGGGCACGTCTCTCTGGCTCCATTCACATTCATGATCACATTCAAATGTAGTTACATACAGCTGCCTGTGTCTTTCGCCTTGTTGTTTGCACTTATAGGAAGTTGTAATGCGGAGCAAATCATTTGGCTAATGACTTATAACACCTGTTACACTGAGGCCACGCTGTCATGTAGGTCAAACGAGCTTTATTTGCAGTGGGAAGGAGCTACGTGGGTGCTTACAGAGAAACATGAAGTCTATTCACATGAAGCTCGTGCGTTTACAGCAGGCTTAGAGGGCCAAACATTACTAATCAGAGCCAATAGCTAATGCACTGTTTGCTGCCTGACTGGGAGGTCTTGTCATTCGCTAATATGCTGCTGATGTGGGTAAACATGCTGCAAAGACAAGCAGCTGGCTGTCTGAGTGAATATCTATCACGCACCTCAGCAGGAAAAGAAAAGGAAACACGGGTGGTACAGGAAAGACCACACATGCTTCACATGTGCATATAAACATGTTTAATAGTACTTATGCAGTATCGGCCTCACCTCTGAGATGCTTCTGTTGTTCATTCAGTCTTTTTCTTGGCCGGATTACTCGGTCAGCAGTTATCGGGACCTTTGGTGGTGCTTCATGATGTGGTCCTTCACCAATGGTGCCATTCTGCTGGAATTAAATGTCACTTTAAATGATGACATAACCACAAAAGTCCTTCCCAGTAGATACGGGGGTAACAATTCAACCTTTTACAGAAAAAAAAGATTCTGCAAGTAATTTTATATAGTGAAGTTTACAGGAAAGGAGACACGATCACTGTCAGTCATTTTAAGTGATTGTGAGCAGTGGTGGCTCAACCTTGCCTTTCACATTCACATACACGTGGATGGTGCATGTTTTCCTTTCATGTCATTAGCGCTGTGCGAAAAGTCAAAATCGGCCACACAACAATACATTACAGTGAAAGAAGAAAAAGTGGAAGAAACTGTCTTGTTCTTAAGACAACATCAGGATGAAGTCATGATGGATGCAGCGTCTCACATGCTGGTGAGTCTGGGGGAGATGGTTTTCTTGTGCAAGATGGTCTGCACAAAACTGCCAGTCAAGGATGTCATTTCTAGCAGGACAGTGGGTGCAAACATAAAGCCAAAGGTAACCACTAAATGACTTATGTTAGATTATATATATATATTCTTAGGGTCAGTCCAGGCAGTGCACAGGTTGGTCAGTCTGGTCTTGCTTGGTCTACCAGTAGCTGGTGTTTTGCGCCTCTGGTATTCTTGCCCATCCCTTTCTGTGCCTCACTCATGTATTGATCCATGTGCCTGTTCATCTTAGCCGCTACGATGCCTGACAGGAGCTTCCACGTGTTGCTGAGGCAGGTTATTGGTCGGTAGTTGGAGGGGACCGGTCCCTTCTTGGGGTCCTTGGGGATCAGGACCGTCCGGCCTTCAGTTAGCCATTCCGGGTGTCTCTCGTTAACTAGCAGCTGGTTCATTTGTGCTGCCAGACGCTCGTGGAGTGCAGTCAGCTTCTTCAGCCAGTAGGCGTGAACCATGTCGGGCCCTGGTGCTGTCCAACTCTTCATACTGGAGACCCTTTCTTGGATATCTGCCACTGTGATGGTTACTGACCCTGTTCAGGGAGGTCGCTGTGGTCAGCCCTCAGATCCTCTAGCCACTGAGCATTGCCGTTATGGGTTGCATCCTTCTCCCATATGCTCTTCCAGTATTGCTCCGTCTCCAGCCTTGGTGGTGCTGTTCTCTTATTGTTCCCTTGCCACTGAGAGTACACCTTTGCTGGTTCTGTGGAGAACAGCTGGTTTATTCTCCTGCCTTTGATCTCTCTGGTGTACCTCTTCAAGCGGCTGGCCAAGGCTGTGAGTCGTTGCAGAGCCTTCATCAGGAACTCAATGGGGATGTGGCGCACAACAATGGGCCACATTCAAGCCCATAGCATAAGTCACCATCAAGTGCGGGATCTACCGAGGAGATGCTCTGTGCCCACTGCTGCTCTGCACAGGCCTGAACCCCTCAGTGAGGTCAGTGACCAGAATGGCTACAGATACCGACTAAGGAACGGAGCAGTTGTCAGCCACCTCCTGTACATGGATGACATCAAGCTGTATGCCAAGACTGAACGAGACATCGATTCACTGATCCACACTACCAGGCTATACAGCGATGACATCGGGATGTCGTTCGGACTGGAGAAGTGTAGTCACTAGAAAAGCTGCAACCACCAAGTACCTGCAGAGGGTCAGGCAAGTCCTGAGGAGTCAGCTGAATGGGAAGAACAAGATCCATCAACACCTACGCCCTGGCCGTGATCAGGTACCCTGCTGGGATAATAAGCTGGCCAAAGGAGGCGATAGAAGCTCCTGACCATGCACGGAGGGTTTCACCCCAAGTCCAGCACACTGAGGCTGTACGCTAAGTGAAGGAAGGAGGCCGGGGACTGGTGAGTGTCAGCACCACGATCCAGGATGAGACAAGGAACATTCACGAATACATCACGAAGATGGCCCCAACTGACCGAGTGCTCAGTGAATACCTGACAGACAAATGGTGGTGGCTAACCAACCGGACATAGTGGTGGTAGACAAGCAGAAGAAGACGGCCGCAGTGATCGATGTAGCGGTTCCCAGTGACAGCAACATCAGGAAGAAGGAACACGAGAAGCTGGAGAAATACCAAGGGCTCAGAGAAGAGCTCGAGAGGATGTGGAGGGTGAAGTAAGTCAGGTTTATTAAGTGCTTTTCGTAGACAGGCAGTCACAAAGCGCTGCACACAAAGGTTAAAAGAAAGAAAACATTAAGTAATAAAATAGAGAATATAAAGTGTTGATTAACAGAAGGCCTGTTTAAACAAAGTTTCCACAGAGTCAACCAAACGTGAACCACAGCCTTGGTGCCACAGACTGAAAGGCTCCGCCTCTTTTCGTCTTCAGTCGTGTACGGGGAAAAACCAACAAACTCTGAGCGGAGACAACGAGCAGCAGTGAATTTTAAAAGAAGCTTGGATAAATAATCTGGGGCCATTGAGTGCTCTGTATGTTAGAACAAGAATTTTAAAGCAAATTCTAAAATCTGTTGGGAGCCGATGTAAAGAATATAAAATGGGAGTGATGCGAGCTCGCTTGCTAGAACGTGTTAGTAGCCTGGCCGCTGCATTTTGTACAGCTTGGAGGCGAGAAAGACATGATTTGTCCAGGCTGGTAAACAAGGCATTACAATAATCTGAGGTACGGTGGTCCCAGTGGCTCCAGCAGATCCCGGGAACATCGGAGATCTCTGTGCAGAAGAGCGCAGTCCTGGGAACAGCTGGGATGCTGCAGGACCCTCAGGCCTCTGGCAGAGGACCCGAGCTTGAAGGAGAGACCGGCCGCAGGCGCGAGCGGGGATTTTCTTTCTGTTATCTCTAAAGAAAAGCAGGGAAACATTTTACAGGAACTGTAACAAAACACACGGTCACTGCATACCAGCTTCTTTAACTTTAATAGAGACAAAAAAAAATACAATCCCAATTTTTCAAACACAAATATTAAAAACTGTCAGATAGAAAAGACAACAAATCTGAAAAAGCTCAGAGCTTTTGCACTGTTGGTTTAATAAAAGACCTGATATACAACCTGCAACACAAAGCGATAAAAATATAGTGTCTGTTGTATTATAGATTATACTGTAAACCCAAAGCTTGCATTCTGCTCGATTTTAATATCCAGTATAATAAAAGGTCAAACTCTCCAGACATTTAAATAGTTCATCACACAGCAGTACGTGGCAAACTAATACTTTCTTTATCACAACACATTTATTAATTCATGAACATTCGTGCATGGCTGGATTAGTGATGCATTTAGTATTTACATGTTTATTAAATAAGACGGGCAAACCAAAACAAATCTAAAGAAACTGTTGGATTGATCAGATCTATTGTAACGTTAAAAAGTCAATCTAGTGTCAAACATGATCCGGGTACCAGGTCGACGTGGAGACAGTATATGTGGAGCTGCCGTTATTGCTGGGCCACACAGTCACCAACACCAGAGCATTTAAAAAAACAAAACAAAACACGGCGCCGTCAGAGTTGAAAGGTCGGTTCGGGCGGTCAGCCATCAAACTGTGCAGCCCTTTCTAGGTTTGCTGGTGAAAATGAGCAATCCGGCCTCCTTTTAAAAACCACTTTCTGTGCTAAACTGGCACCATCAAAACTGAGAGAGCGAGGTTTACACGAATCACCAGTACGAGGAAGAAAAGGGAAGTCGTTACCGTGGAGACGTTTATAACTGGTCAGTGCTCGGCGTTTCTCAGAAGTCTACTGCACTAAAAGGAACCGTTAATCAAGACAATCTAGGAAACAAACGATCTCCTGAGAACGTCAGTGCTCTAACTTTAATGTTTTAATAAAGACCTTAAAAAGCATAATGTATGACCAACATGGCTTCCTTCTGTCCTTAAAGATGGCTTGGCCAAAACACGTTTTCAAATTAAAAGTACTGAACAGCTGAAGGACCGGAAACAACATATCAAAGACAAGACACTTGAGGTTATTTATTAACTAATGAGGTGTTTAGCAGGGCTGATAGCAAACCAGGCCACGGCCCGTTCAAAGGTCATTTACACACCTTTGAACCAAGTCAAAAATCACAAGCCGAGAAGAATGTAAAAAAGCCAACGATGTGTTTATTGTAGCTCTGTGGAGTTTATGTTACAGGATTGATCGTGGGAACAAAAAGAAAAGCTGTAATTTCACTGCTTCAGTCTGGCTGTTTGACTCTACAGACAGGTACAGGCCAACCAGCTACCAACGCTTCCTGTAAAGAAGCCAAAGTTCCAATCAAATCATCACGTTCCTTAAACCTTTATGCAAACTACGCATAAAAAAAATATTTACAATTTGTAATACAAAAAGAAAAACAAAACAAAAACCACAGCACAGATAAAATGCACAACCCTGAAAAAAGAAAATCTCTTCAAAGCCTGCTGGGCCGACTAATCGTTTCTGGTTCCTGAAATTACAAACATGTTTTAAAAGCATTTAAAAAGGTGGAGGAGGGTAAAATATACAACAACAACAAAAGATGGCTGAATGAGGATGAACCCACACTGTGTACATCTGTGTGACGATACAGAGCTTCAGTTACAGTCGTGCTGCCTGCTCTCCTCCGATGGAATGTCGTCGCTCCGTTTAGCTTTAGTCTCGTTATCAGTCGTGAGTTTTACGATCATTAGTAAAAGTGGGTTCTAAAGGAAAGTAAGCAAACGTTGGAGTGGATGATGTTCCGTGGCTAGCGGTGGATCCCAGTGTCGCCCACCAGTCCATTAGAACAAATGTCTCAGTAATATCCAGGCTGGTACTGCTGGCTCCACGGCTTCTGGTTCCAGAACTGCACAGAACAGAACATTAACACTTTGATCCCCTGATTTATGTGTAACAACTACAAACGGCAGATGCACAAACACTGACCCCTTGCTGCCAGCTCTGGTTGAAGGCCTGGGCTTTATCCATGCCGTTCCTGTTGCCTCCATAGTTGCTGCTCTTGTTGCCAAAGTTGCCACGGCCCCCCCCTCGCTGCTGAAACTGTGCAGGAAAAACAAAGAAAAAAAAAAAGTTGATTATGCATCAACGGACGTCAGAGGAGCAATAATTTGATCAGGAGTCATTTTGAAACCAACCTGATGGGGGTGACCCCTGTTTCCACCACGACCCATGCTAGCTCCGCCTCCTCTGCTCATGTTCCCTCTGTTCACTGGACCGCCTCTGCTCATGGGTCCTCCTCTGTGTCCCATGTTGCCCCTCATCGGGCCGCCCCTGGGGGATCCACCCAGGCTAGGAATGGGGCCGCCACCACGGTTAAAGTTTCCACGATTGGGGAATCCTCCTCTGAAGGCTGGGGGCGGCAGAAAGCCGCGAGGAGGACGGTTGAACCCCCCGCGAGGCCCGGGAGCTGCAGACAGACCAGGGTAAAGGTAAGCTTGAGCATCAACTGTGCCGTTAAGGAGCATTCATTTCCCACCCATCAATCCCACCTCCTCTGAAGTTGCCTCTGTTCTGGAAGCCTCCACGGCTGCCACCTCTCTGCCCAGGTCCGCCACCACGGGCAAACTGGTTTTTGCCACCGCGTCCAGCACCGCGCTGTCCACCGCGCTGTTTAGGCGTCGTGCTCCCCTGGTTTGGCTTTTTCTCGGCAGGCAGAGCCGTCTTGCTTTCCTCTTTGTACTGCTCCAGGAGCTTGGCAGCATCATCTTTCTGCAGCTCGGCGTAGATGACCTCATTGAAGCTCTCGCCCTCCTCGGGCAGAGAGAAGAAGCCTATAATGGAACGGAAACGATTCAATAAGAGAAGCAGCACCCAGGAATAGCTTCTGTCCAAGTGTGTGATGGACTGTAACAGGGTAAAGACAACGGTAATGCTTTTACCTTTCATTTTGAGTAAAGCATGCTCAGGCACTTCCTTGCCATCAGTCTCAACTTTCTTCTGGACTCTCTGCTTGTAGTCTTCATCAGACGGGCAGACGACTACAGCCTTGCGTTGGAAGCCTGCGAACAAACACATCTTCCTCTTCTGGCCCGGAGCAGACAGGTTGGTCTGCAAAGACAAAGAGGCTCATTTGATCAATCTATCATCAAAGACATGGTTGTGACCACACTCAGCAAGAGCCACTTACATGGTCCAGGATGTAGTTCCTCTTCTTGCGAGCAGCAATCTCAATGAATTTTCCCAAGAAGAGCGGTGCACGCTGGGAAATGGCAGTCAACTTTGTGATGTCCTTGGACTGACGCTTCATGCTGCCGATCTGCACGAAAGAAGAAAAGAGCATTTTCCTACCAACAGGGAGAAGCAGCAACTATTTCTGGGACGCTGTAACGTTGGTCTGAGTACTGACCATCATCTTTTCCACAATCGTGTCACTGCCCAGGATGTAGTACTTCCCAGGGTTCTCTTGGATATGCTTATTCACCCACGTGGTCTTCCCTGAGCCCGGCAGACCAACCATGACTATGATCTGGAAAAGAGAGAAAATTGAGATCACTATATGGAGAACTTTGATACCGCAGCGTTGCACTTTTGCATTCATGAATGAAAAACGCTCCTAAACTCTTTTACTCACCTCACAGTCAGCCTTGGTCTGCGGCCCTTTGAGTGCACGGACTCGATCACTGACAGGAATCTGCTGCAGGAAGGTGTAGCCCTGCGGCTGGGGGAAATATGGCGTCTCCAGCTGGCCAAAGTTGAATTCCACAGCGCAGTTGCGGCAGATGACGTGGGGGAAAAGGGCCCGGCCGTTCAGGGAGTCCTTGCCGACTTGGAAAGCGGCAGCTGGCTCGCCTCCGTTCTTGGAGTAGGACAGCACCACCTCCTCACCTTCAAAGTCCTGCATGAATAGAGCAACACTCCAGCTTTAGTGTGTAACAAAGACATTTGCCTCAGCAGAAAGGGAAAAAGAGTCAAACTAATACTCTCATGATTCTGTTTAACGCTCTTTGCCTCTTCCATACATTACTGTTCTTCCATCTGCACACAAAGGGGAAAATTAAAAACAAACAACAATCTCATATCTTACAATTAGACAGCAGATGACATCATTCTCCTCGTAGGTCTCTCCAAACTCCTCGGTCACACAGTTGGTGGTTTTCTTGGCTTTTCCGGAGTAGGCATAGGAATGCTCTTCCTCACCTAAACACATGACAAACACTTCTGGATTAATACAGAGTGGAGGTGGTGTGTGAATCATTGGGCTGGCACTAGGCCACGCAGCGCTGCTGTGACGCAGCCAGAGCTGAAGCCATTTTGTACAAAGGTGTCATGAAGCCAACTGGCCACCAGAGGGACCCCTAGAGACACGACCTTCCTGTAAATGGATACACCCAGTACAGTTCGGTTTGTTTGTGTTTCAATACAAAGTTCACCCTCTGATGGGCTGAACTGATGTAAATGTTTAACCCAGCGGTATTCAGCCTGTATGAGTCACAGCAAATAGCTGCTGCCCTAAGATGCTGGCAGCCTTCAGAGGCCAAAACATTACAGCACACCAGTACATCCAGTGATCCTGGGAATGCATTGTGCCATGAGTAAAATGGAAAGTTACAGCGGGCTCCGCCAACACTGAGTCAGTGTGGCGTTTACAGAGTTGCGGCAAACATTGCACTGACCCAGCAGCAGTGTGCCCGTTTCCAGGGACCATCCGACTTGGACGTCATGAATCTCCATGTTCTTGCTGGAAATATGCTTCACTGGAATCTTCTCAGTGATCTGCACACACAGAAAAGCATTACCACTCGTTTCCACTGACCTCACTGAGCCATTCAGAGATTTGTGCAAGATGTGAGCATCGTTACCGTACCTTCATCTCAAAGCAGGCTTTGCCTTTGTTCACACCGTATGTAGCCTTTCCCCCGGACCACAGGTAAGCAAAGCTCTCCATGGTGAGAGACGAGGCGCTGTAGCGGTCCCGCGACACCTTAAAGTGCAGGTCAGAGTTGTCTGAACGGGCAGAAAAAGTACAAAATGAGACACGACTCTTGGACCAGACGGTACACATTTATACATCCTGAGGATGGAGGGACTGGTGAGCTAGATCACCTCTGCTGCCTTCATTAGTAGGGAGCAGAAAAACTAGTCAGGTAAAGTAACACTCGTTTTACTAACCACACTGCTGTTGGTTAACTCAACATCTGGGGAGGAAAAACCCAAAACGTTTTGAGGACTACACCAGCACTGACGTACAGGTCGTGCTTCAGGACTGCGAATACTACAACCACCACGGAGAAGACAACGGGCCCATTTATAAGACTTTAGGAAATGAACACCTGGCAACGCCACAACTCAGAGCAACGCGTAAGAAAGCTGAGACGGCTTGTGCCTGCCATGTTATGCACGATTCAGCTATGCTGAAAATGTGACATTGAAGTTAATCAAATATAACATGTCTACATTTGTCCATTAGAACAAGCTCAATTCTGAAGCCGTTTTCCAGGAATGTTTCTAAGCAGTCGTTTACAGAAGGAAGCTGACAAGTCTAAAAACATCCTGTACAAAAGTAGCAAACATACAGCTATCCAGGCAGACTTTTGTGTCATCATTGTCTTCGTCTTCTTCCTCCAACGGGGGAACAGGTGACTTGGACGAGGCACTGAAAACAGATACCAAGAGTCAGTATAAGAAGGTTTGCGTCACTTTAACTGCATGGAAAATATAGATGCCTTGGGTACCACTTGGTGAAGAATATTTTAGGTAGACAGGAGAAGAAACAGACAGAGGGGAAAGCAAATAACTGAGCGAGCCTCCAGACTTTCTGGATGTTGGCTGTATTGTAGGCCTCAGCAGACACTTACCTTGCAGAATCCAGCGAAATCTAAAATGTGAAAGATACACAGAGAGAAGCACGTCCACCTGTTCTAGTATGCAAGGCTATGTGAGAGTCACAGTGATAAACTACAAGCAGACCTCTCCACTGTCAGATAAGTGCGTGTTTGTGCCTCCAGAACTGATATGGGGCAAGTTATATTTAACCTCCCCGTGTTGACTTCTAGATGAAAAGGTCACCACTAACTTTTGACTGTGTTGCTAAGCAGAATACATTGAAAGCATGTTTTAAGAGAAACCAGTGTAGTCAAAACTACAGCAACTTACCAACTCTGTAGTTCAGGAATCTCTAAATATTAAGGATGATGCTTTAGCATCACTTCACCTGCCATCATCCAACTATGGTGCAACTCCTAATCATTTAGGAGAAGGAAACCACTGCGGGGCTCATCACTCCTTTCTTATCTACAGCTCGATGTGTCACAACTGTCCCCAAAGAGCCCAGAATGCCGTACAAACAGCTGCCGTGGGGAGATTTACGGTGCTGGTGGACAACACAGTGCCTGAGGTGGAACTTGTAGTCGTCTACATGGAGCTAAGCTCTGAAGGTTTAACTGGGGGTGAAAAGCGATGGAGCAGCAATACTTCGGTGTGCTAACAGCTCTGCTGCCCTGGCCTAAACATTCATGACGAGGGTTCTCCCAAAATAATAATTTTAAAAAAGTTATTCCATTATATGCCTGTTGATCCTCAGTGCATCGACATCGCAATGAAAACAAAACACTGACCAAGATACACACACACACCCCATGCATGATGTCACCTAGCAGGGGTAGAAAGAACTTTGCAAATGCACACACACCCACACCATGAAAACAGACACACACAGGACATGATACATGAGACAGAAATAGCATTTCGACATCATACAACCAGTGAAATAAAAAACAAAACGAAAAAAGAAAAAAAAGAATAGACCATTGCGAGGCGTAACGATGGACGGTCAATAGCGAGCTTCTCCGTGGACGTTCCAAACAGACGTTGGAGGCTTTCTTTCTTTCTTTTTTGCTACCCTGCGGCAGTGGACCCCTTCTTCCACAAATCCGAGCTAGTTTCTCCCCACCCATCCACTGAAAATTGCACATCTGCTACGTTGCTCTGGGTTCCCCTTTGAGCAGCCTTGTTTCACCTTGGGGACACAACAGGCTTTCCAAAACAGTACTTGGCATAAGGAACAGGTGTGAGAATTCATAGAGACTTGATAGATGCACTTCTGCTACAGAATGCAGTCGATTAAAGAAACAGTGTGAGTGGGCACTGTAAAAAGGTAAATGGTAAGGTTCTTTAAGTAGTCAGGGATGACCCTCAAAGCATGTGTGTGAAAATAATGTTACAAGTAGTATAATACTTGAAAAAAATGAGGGTTTTCCTCTTGCTAGTTATGTGCATTGGCACTTAAAGCCAATACAATTCAACAAAGCTATAGATGGCGCTTCAGGGATGCTGAAGGCCATTTTCGCTCTGTCCCATCCTTACCAGCTGTATTTGTTCTCTTCAATAAATTCAAAGTAGCCCCTTCCATGTTCCTCCCGGCGTCTCTTAACACCCTTCTTATTCTTCTGATCAGCATTCGTGTCTTTGTCCGCATCCCCTTTGAAAATAGAACAAAGATATAGAATGAGGTGCTCCTTTTTCTGGGAGAGAGAGGTCGGACTGGCAGTGGGGTTCTGGCCCACAAAGCCCGTTCATTAGTTACATTGTGTGTCGACCATTATCATTTGTATTAAGGTTACTTGGAGGCAACACCTCATCGTTACACTTAAAACAAGACAATCATACTGTGGAAACTGTAACAGCTTTGAAAGACCAGGTAGTAATTACAATATAAGCTGGCCCGTATAAACATTGTGAATGGGGCTGGATAAACAAGTCTCTAATAAGTAAAGTGTTACTATCCTGCAGTAAAGGGCTTAAAAGATACTGCTTTTGATACAAATCTATGTCATTAAAAGGAGGGCAAATCTACTGCTGCCAGGGACAAATGCATCATGCAGGGAAACGGGAAAGCCTACTTAGACCTTGATTTACACCCCCCTCCCCGAGACATTGCACTGAATTGCCTAGATTCATAATTTCTATGACCATCCAACACTATCTATAAAAACCACGGAAAAAAACTACCCACGTCCTACCTAAACAAGCAGTGCGGCGCCCTTCTTTTTCTCAGCACATCTTGGGATTAGCTAATTCAGATGTTCCCGGCAACCTTTAAAGGCAAACGCCACGACCCTAAAACACGATGTCAGTACAATTAAGGCGGAAAGGGTGGCAAGACAGCCCACTGCAGTGGCCATTTCTAACATTGTGTTTTCACGTCGATCCATTCTAAAATGGGATGTGAAAGCAAATGTTCTCCAACGCCCCCAGCTGGAACAACGGGAACCTCTGAATTAGCTAACCGGTTGAACAGCTAGTTGGCGCTGCACAACAGACACAAAGAAACTGACGCTAGCTGGCAAGCTAACACGCTAACCAAACCGAAACTTAAATCCAGACTAAGCTAAATTCGGTAGCAGATTTCTTATTAGAGCCGCTTTAGTAATTTTAGTCGACGTCTCTCAATGTGACGCTAAAGGTCTCTTTAGTAGGCTGGACTGTGGCTACTTAAGGTCACGACACGACTGCTAACCAAGCTGCAGACCGGTGCTAACGCTGGCTAGCTTAGTAGTGAGGTCACGCTATCTCTCTCTCTCTCTCTCAACATGGACGCTCTGCTGTGCGGTAACGCATTCAAATTTAATAATTTCCTCACCGCTAGCGCTTTCTCAAAAAAACCCGACACATCCAACCAGCCGCATTTACATAAGCGATTCTGTCGACTCACCCTCGGCAGCCTGCTCTCCCGGCTCACCGTCTTCCGTATCTATTTTCTCCATGTCGTCCACGTCTCCCTTGAGCATGGGGTCCATCTCATCGTCCTCGTCTCCTTCCTCTTCTCCCTCGCCCATTTCTTCGTCCACGGCAACGCCATTGCCGTCGCCCCCACTCTCCGGCTCTTCCTCCTCGTTGGCCTCCATGCTTTCTTCAATGGGGCCTTCTCCCTCCCCCTCTCCTTCTTCCTCCTCTGCCATACCTTCTTGGTCGGCGGCCTGCTCGAAACCGTCATCCGCCTCAGCTGCCTGCTCCTGCGGAGAAGCGAGGGCCTCCTCGTCCAGCGCGGCCTGCAGGCGGTCCATCAGCTCGGCCTTCAGCCCCTTGTCCGAAAGATTACGCTTTTTCAGCTCGTCTTTGAGCTCGTTAACTTTAAGCTTTTTGACGTTAATTGTGCTCATGGTGAATGTTTGACGGCGAACGCGCTAAAATAAGACGGGAAATAAATAAATGGACGCCCTTTGTTAACGGATGTAGCTCAAAACTGCGCCAAACGGCACCCGCTGTACAACCAATCCTTTGCAGGCACAGAGCTGCGCGAGCCTGCTGTGTGGGGGAGGAGTCGTCTCCTACCGTAACTGCCCAGAGAGAGGCGCAGCTTAGTTATGCAGCCTGTGGCCATCTGTCACTGCAGCTAAACGTTCCTTTCAGAAACCATTGTTGTGGAAAAGCGGGACAGATAGTACACGAAAAGATGGTTCCAGTAAAGAGCGCGAACGTTATTAATTAGTTTGTCATTATTTAACAAAACGCATTTTACAGAGGGCTGTTTAACTAGGTAGTGAGTTTAAGACAGGTCAGGACAGTAGAATAAAGGCACACATGTTGCGTAATGTGCAACGCTAATAATCAATATCGGTAAGCTAGAAACAATGCAGTACAAAGATATCTCTCTTCTCGCCCCTTTTTCAATTTTATAAAATCCAAGAAGAGGCACAAATGTGATATCGTTTAACTACGCCGACACGTCTTTCTGAATACGCGTTATCGCTCTCCCGTGTAACGAAAACAGCTGTTTAAAAATTCCTTTTTGTCATATCTGTCAATTGTAGAGTTTTCAGAGTTGATGTTGAAAATGTCCATGCACTTCTAAACAACACATAACTCCGTGGACTCTTCTGGAAAGCACTTTGGTGATTTGCCAACTCTTTGTTATTCTCATTTAAAGCAGCGCACACCGATTTCACATAAAGAGCTTCAGTGGCCGCAAAGCTCAGCCTTGGTTACATCATCGGAGTTTCCTTAGGTTTGAGATGTTTTTGCGATAGAAAGTCACATCCAAACTTTTAAAATCTCTTTGTTTTCAGTCTAAAGACGTAAGATGACCTACCTCTTTGTTTTGATACCTGGCATTGTCAAACTGTGAAGGGCATTACAGTTAATATCACTAATAAATGGTAAACTGATATTTTTCAAAATGAAAGAAAACTAAATCGTGCCTACGAGTCAAATAATAATTAGTTTAGAAGATTGTATCTGGATTAACCTAATGAGTCAAAATAAGAAGTTAAAATAAGACACGGAGAATAACCGCTGTCAAAATAAAACAGGAAACAACGAAGCAAGGAATCACAAACAGATAAGAAGACTGAACAATTCACAGCAGGATACAGGGAAGACTCGATTAATCTAAACACGACTGAACACCAACAGAGACCAGATAACAAAACGTAACAAGACTAAACATGCCTCCAATACCAGAACTAAGAGCTCCAAATAATGCTGAATGCTTACAATACGTCCCACACAATGCCATATCTATCACAACACACATTTATATGTGAAATTAATGAAAAATAACAAAATTACTGTAACTGTATTATGTAGTTTTCAGAATTGTGCACATAGTTTATCTGGAAAAGACTGTACGACTGAAAAACTTTCGTTTTTGCACATACAGCTTTTTAGATCCTGGTGATCACTGAAATTAAAGTTCATGCAAATAACACTTCAAAACAATTGTCCTTCTGGATCTTCCAGAGGGAATTAGCTTTTCAAGTCCTTGGGTTTCTAACCCGATTGGTTACAATTAAAAAGGTAGTTTGTGTTGACATTTGAGCAGTTGAGATGGAGACGCTCATTATTAATACAGGGCGGGCCGTTTGTATGGATCCACCGCAATAACATGGGAATGGTTGGTGATATTAAAGTCCTGTTTGTGGCACATTAGTATATGTGAGGGAGCAAACTCCTCCAGATGGGCGGTGACCATGGTGGCCATGTAGAAGTCGGCCATCTTGGATACAACTTTTGTTTTTCAATAGGAAGAGGACCATGTGACACATCAGACTTATTGGTAATGTCACAAGAAAAACAATGGTGTGCTTGGTTTCAACGTAACTTTATTCTGTCATGAGTTATTTACAAGTTTCTGACCACTTATAAAATGTGTTCAATGTGCTGCCCATTGTGTTGGATTGTCAATGCAACCCTCTTCTCCCACTCTTCACACACTGATAGCAACACCGCAGGAGAAATGCCAGCACAGCCATCCAGTATCCGTAGTTTCAGGTGCTGCACATCTCGTATCTTCACATCATAGACAATTGCCTTTAGATGACCCCAAAGATAAAAGTCTAAGGGGGTCAGATCGGGAGACCTTGGGGACCATTCAACTGGCCCACGACGACCAATCCACTTTCTTCCAGGAAAGTGTTCATCTAGGAATGCTCGGACCTGCACCCATAATGTGGTGGTGCACCATCTTGGAAAAACTCAGGGAACGTGCCAGCTTCAGTGCATAAAGAGGGAAACACATCATCATGTAGCAATTTCAAATATCCAGCAGCCTTGAGGTTTCCATTGCTGAAGAATGGACCCACTGTCGTTGTTCCCATATACCACACCAAACCATCACTTTTGTTGTTCCAACAGTCTTGGAGGGATCCATCCACTGTGGGTTGGTGTCAGGCCAATAGCGGTGATTTTGTTTGTTAACACCATTCACATAAAAGTTTGCCTCATCACTGAACAAAATCTTCTGTGTGAACTGAGGGTCCTGTTCCAGTTTTTGTTTTGCCCATTCTGCAAATTCTGTGCCGATCTGGGTCATCCTCGTCGAGATGCTGCAGTAGCTGGAGTTTGTAAGGGTGCCATTTGTGAGTAGCTAATATCCGCCGAAGGGATGTTGGACTAATGCCACTCTCCAGTGACATGCGGTGAGTGCTACGCTGTGGGCTCTTGCTGAATGAAGCTAGGACAGCCACTGATGTTTCTTCATTACTGACAGTTTTCTTGCGTCCACATTTTGGCAAATCCAACACTGAACCAGTTTCACCAAACTTAGCAAGCAGTTTGCTGACTGTAGCATGGGAGATGGGTGGTCTCGTAGGGTGTCTTGCATTGAAATCTGCTGCAATGACCCGGTTACTGCGTTCACCAGATATCAACACAATTTCGCTCCTCATGTGTTAACCTCTTCGACATGTCAATGGCTGTGAACAAAGAGAAACTTGTAAATAACTCATGACAGAATAAAGTTACATTGAAACCAAGCACACCATTGTTGTTCTTGTGACATTACCAATAAGTTTGATGTGTCACATGGTCATCTTCCTATTGAAAAAAACTAAAGACAATGGCCGACTTCTACATGGCCACCATGGTCACCACCCATCTGGAGGAGTTTGCCCCCTCACATATACTAATGTGCCACAAACAGGACTTTAATATCACCAACCATTCCCATGTTATTGCGGGGTATCCATATAAATGACCCACCCTGTACCACTACTTAATCCCGTAAAGCCTAAGTAAGCTATGTAAACTATGAAATAATTGCCAGAAAATTATTTTTTAAAACTAAATTGTTTATTGAATCTGCTGTCAAATAAAAAAAAACCCAAAAAAACAATTTTATTTATATAGCGCCAAATCGCAACAACAGATACTTTATATTTTAAGGTAAAGACTGAGAATAACTGAGAGAAAACCCCAACAATCCCCTATGAGCAAGTATTTGGCAACAGTGGGAAGGAAAAATCCTCTTTTAACAGGAAGAAACCTCCAGCACAACCTGGCTCAGGGAGGGGCGCTGCTTTATACTCTAGGAACCACAAATAAGTGTGAGAGCAAACTGTTCTTGGGTTGACAGGGTACTACGAGGTCTTAAAGATTAGAAAAAAGATTTCAATGCACAGGTTTTATTTTTTTTAAATGTATTTATGTATTTATTTATTTTTTGCAATTTATTGCTTAATATTGTTCAATTTATTTAAAAAATGGATTAACCTGTAACAACACTGATGACTTTAGTTTAGGCAGATGATCTGGTGACCCCTACAGCAAGCAGACAGAAGAAGAGGACAAACACACATTTTAAAGTTCACTAATAATAATAAATAAATAAATAATAAATCACACAAAACGTTGACTAATGAACTTTGTCCCAGTATTCCAAAAGCTGTTTTTCCATTGAAAGAATAAAATGAAAAGAAAAATAACGTTTCTGTTAGCTGGACTTGTTACACATACATGACTTTTCTTTGCTTAAAGCACTTACAGTAAAATAGGTATTAAGTAAACACTAACTTATCATGTATTAATAAATTAATAAATACATTTCTGAGACATGGATTTCAGTTATTTGGAAATATTGTAGCTATATTTGCAGTTTCTCGTTGATACCATTGCTGCTAAGGTGAAAACAAACATTGTAAGAATAATGTGGATAGATATTTCCGCACACGTCTATTCAGGCATGTTGTCGGACTGTTCCGTTGTAAGAAGGTGCAGTGACATTTGCGGGACAGCGACAGTATGTAGGACATGAATCACGTCAAGAAATACAAACACTCAGCCGCCTGCTCCTTTTTTAAGGTTTCTCCGAGCAGCTGCTCCGTGCTGCCTCCCTGAGGAGCTTATAATAAATAGCCAAGTGACTTCATGAAGTGTTCTCCCGTGCGCTCTCACTCATTCTCCACTGTGCCACTGCCATCACTCCACATCTTAGAGACTGTGCCCAGCATTTCAGCTTGTTGTAGTTTGTTTTTTTAGGCCTTCACGTCAGTGGATATTTTTGCACCAGGTCCAGGATTGGCAACAATAACAGAAAATGCCCCCCGCCTTTGTTCGGATATCTTTTTAAATATTTACAAGTTGTCATGTCATCTCTGACTGGAAGAGGAAGAGAGGGGTTTCCAGCCTCGATCAGAGGAGGTCTCTGGGTAAGTCCGATTTGTTCGTTTTGGGCAAAATTTGTTAGCATTTGTGGGGTTTAGAGTTTCTTGAGAGTACTGTTGCACTAGAAAAAACAAAACACTTGGGTGTGGTTACAGTAGTCTAAGTCGATTGATATTTAATTTCCCCCTGCCAAAGCCCACATACATCCTTATTTATCATGATTTATTTCTCAGAGCGCAGAAGTGCAGCATCACTTTGAGACCGCAGGGAAGGACCGCCAGCCCAAGGAGCGCCCCTCTCCTGTGGGTGCCGGAGGGTCCAGGGGCGACCCATATCGGAATATGTGCCAGAGAGCAGACGATGTCCCGTCTTACAAGTCCCTCCCTGGATCTGTAGGAGACCGCATCCGGACAACCATGTCCTTTAGGACTATATGTAGAGGAGGCTCCATGTCGGCGAATCCCGGCTTTGGGAGGTCCGATCGGAAAGTTGCTCGTTGCGAGAA